ATTACAATACCTCCAAAGAATGAAAAGAATAGAAATAGAAGTAAGAAAGAATAATTGGAAAAGAATAAGATGGAATTATAAAAATGATATAATAATGAAAGAGACGACTTCTAAATAAGCCTAAAGAAGATGAATATCAAGATAATATTACTACAATTAATTTCTGGAAATGAATCTATGAAAATAACACTAATACAGATTTCATAAATATTAATTTATATGAAATATTAATTGAAAATAGAATTAATAATAGAAGGTGCGTAATCACTCTAGATGAATTAAATCATGCAATAAAATTTATTGATAATTGGAAAGTACATGGAATTGATAAAATACAAGGCTTCTGGATTAAATAATTAGAACAACCAAAGAATTTCTTATTAAAATTATTTAATGAATGGTTGTATAATCCTACTACCATCTATCTTCATTTCATCAAATGAAGAACAATATTAATATATAAGAAATGAGATAAATTATATAAACTAAATTACAGACAAATAATTTGTTTAAACTGTCTTTTAAAAGTATATACATCTTTATTAAAGATGGAGATAGAAATCAATTGATGCTAAATCAAATTGAAAAACAATTATCACAAAATCAAATTTGATGTAAAAAATATACATATGCATCAAAAGAATGATTATTATACAATAATATAATCATTCAGTTATTAATCAAGGCTAAATGGAAGTGGGTAGAAACATATTATGATATTTCTAAAATATATGATAATATTAATCATCAATTTGTTAAACAATGTTTAATTTATTTTAACATCCCATTAGTTGTAATTAAAAGTATATTATATATATTAATTATTACACAACTATAATTATATTATAATCAACAAAATGTTGGTATAATTAATGTAGAAAGAGGAATAATACAATATGATAATTTATCTAAATTATTATTTGTATTATCTATTGTTATATTATCTAATTAATTAGATAAACAAATTATTAAGTTATCTATTAAAATGAAATGAGAAGAAAAATAAGTCCAGTTAAACCACATATTATATATGGACGATTTAAAGATAATAACTAACAGCATCGAAGAAATGGAAAAAGCCCATAAATTAACAAAAGAAATATTTAATAGAATATGATTAAAAATAAAAGTAGAAAAGAGTGGGATAATGAATAATATCAATGGTCAGATAAATGGAGAATTAGCTGAATTACCAAGAGTAACTAATGATAATCATTATAAATATCTTGGTATTGAAATAGGAGATAAAATAAATATTAATGAATATTATACATGATTATTAAATGATGTATCTTCTATTCTATCATCATTAAATATTATGAACTATAGCAGCCTCAATACAATAAGAAATATTAATAATGATATAATCTCAAAATTAAGATATGGATTCTGTATTGTCCCATGGAAACTTGGTAAGTTGGAGAATATAGATAAACAAATAAGAAAGTCATTGATACAACTCCAACTATACAGTAGAAACATCAATAAAAGTAGATTATATGTTACAATAAATGAATTAGGAATGGGATTAATGTCAGCACGAGATGAATGTTGTAAAGAAATAATAAGAATATATTTAAAATATAAATATCAAATACAGAAATATGAGAAATGATAGAACAGTAAAAGAGAATCCAAATGGAATAATTAAAAGAATGAAGAGAGAATTTGGTAAGAATATTAATTTCAATGAATTAATGAATATAATACAGTTAAACGAAAGAAAACATGATGTAAGCAAAGTATTTGAATGGGTAACAAATAAAATAAATGAAAGATATTTAAATGAATGGAAAGAAATGAAGTGAATATATAAGAAATGTAAATTGTATATTTAATAATAAGAAATTATCAGTAACTACATGGATGTCATTAAATATAAAAAGAAATGCATTCATCAAAGTAGTAAAGATGCAAGAAGGAGTAACTATGACAGGAAATATTAAATCTAAAATACTCAATTGTGATGCTTTAAAATATTGTAAACATTGTCCTAACACAATTGCATCTATTAGCCACATTTTGTTAGGATGTCATGTAATGAAGAAGAATCAAATATCAAAACATGAATATGTATGTAAACAAATATATAAACATATATTAATTACCCATTTTAATGAATTTGATGAAATAGATTTTAATGCCCCTCCTAAGTGTATTAATAATAATGAAATGGTTATAAATTACAATAAAGGTTTATTGGTTAATGACCATTCTTTTAATGCTAGAAGACCAGATATATATTATCAAAACATCAATGAAAAAAAATGATATATTAATGATGTGATATATGCCAAGATAGAATATAGAATTAAATTATTTACAAAATAAATAAATACAAAGAATTACAAGAGAAGCTAAGACAAATAGAGAATTAATTTAAGTAAAAATAATACTTGTAATATTAACAATAAATTAATACATAAAGAAACAGTAAGAAGATTAAAAACACTAAAATTACAAATTGACTTCCCCAAAATACTACGAACAATCATTATTAAAAACATGAAATACTTAATGTTCTACACATTCAACACTGGCAACACATTAGAAGAGGAATCTTCTAATTCTCATATGTTAGAAGTGAACTCTATTGTAGAAATAGAGCATATCGAAGAAACTGAAACATCATTTCAATAATCATAAAATCAAATTGTGGATATATCTATTAATTATCCTTTTTTGTTCAAAAAAAAATAAAAAAAATTAAAAAAATAGTTTAACGGAAGTCAATGAAAAGAAGATGGGAACAACTTATTGAAAATGAAGAAAAAAGACAAAACAAACTGAACAATACAAAAAAGAAAATTGAAGAAGTAAAGTCAAATAAACAAACAATTAATGTAGAAGTAGACCCATTAAAAATTAAACAAATGCATGAAAAAATACTTGGATTTTATGAAAAAGAAGGAAGAAAATTACCATGGAGAGAAACAACAGATAAATATAAAATACTTGTAAGTGAAGTTATGTTACAACAAACACAAGTGACAAGAGTAATAGAAAAATATAAGTCATGGTTAATTCGTTTTCCGACTATTCAAGATTTAGCAAAAGTTTGATTCAATACTTTTAGTTTAAAAAATAATAATTAAAGATATTTATTTATTTAAGGCAAGTCTTGCTGATGTTCTTGAAGAATGGAATGGATTAGGTTTTAATTCAAGAGGAAAAAGATTAAGAGATTTGGCTATTGAGGTATGTGAAAGGTATAAAGGGATAATACCTTCTAATGTTGATAAGTTATTAAATTTACCAGGGATTGGTCCCTACACTGCAAATGCAGTATTAATTTTTTCTGAAAATCAAGACATTGCAACAGTAGATGCTAATATTAGAAGAATTCTTATTCATGAACTTTCTCTTGATGAAAAAACACCTGAAAATATATTATTCGCTTATGCCAATAAATGTCTGCCATTAGGAAGAAGTCGTGATTGGCATAATGCATTAATGGATTATGGTGCTCTTGTTGCAACTGGTAAAAAAACTGGAATTGCAGCAAAATCAAAACAAAGTAAATTCGAAGGATCAAGAAGGTCATATAGAGCTGAATTATTAAGAAGAATTAGAAAAAATAATGGCTCTTTGTCAATAGAAAGTTGTGAAGAAGTTATTAAAGGGACTAAATACACTTTAGAAGAAATCATTGAAGGATTAGAAAAAGATGGAATTGTTCATAAAGAAGGAACTTCTATTGTTTTGAATAAATAATTTTATTATAATTATTTTTATTATAATTTTATTATTAAAATAATAATATTATAAAATAATAATAATATTATTATAAATTATAGTATTGATTAAGGTATTTAAGTAAATCAGGTATCTCATTTTTATTAATTGCAGCTATCCCCTCGTTTTAATTAGTATTAAAACGAACCATATTATGCTGCAATATTAAATTGCTTTATTTTTAAGGTTAATTTTATTATATTATTTACCTTCTATTTTAGAGCAATAAATCAATTAAAAATAATAAAATTCAATTAGTATGACTTATATGGTTGAAAAGAAGGAAGTAGAGTTTTTAATAACTCAAATTGTATTTTTTCTTCTTTAGAACATTTGTCTTGGTCAATAGTAATTGTCTATTTACTTAGTCTCTTTTCATTTTATTGAGTATTAATTAAAACAAACAATTCCCATTTCATTTCTTAATTTTTTGATACTTTTAATAGTTTCCTCCTTGCTCATTTATTTTTTATTTTTTTTTAATTAAGTTCTCTTTTTATTTTTACTTTTTTATAAAAAAAATGAAAATTCTAGTCACAATGAAATGAGAATGAACTTGAAAAGTTTATTTCATGTTCTTTTTATATCTTCTCTTCATTGCACTAATTCGTGCTGTTGAGTTTGACACATGTGAGAACCCACAAATTATTGATGGCTCAACTAACATTTATATTGAAGACCTTAATGAAAGAAGAGTTTTAGATGGGAAAAAAGGTGTTTGGGTTCAAATTACTGCTGAACAAGCAACAGTTGGATATACCTTCCATGTTTTAGGTCATGGAGAAGCTAATATCTTTGAAACAACTGACTGTTCATCATTGTCAGAAGTAAGTCAATTACCCTATGGGTTTGTTGTTGAAACAGGAAAAACTCGTACTTTCTTTGTTTCTGTTCCTGAAACAACCACAGAAGAAATTACTGTTATCGCTGACAAAATGCTTGTTTCAGAAGATAAAACTAGTGCAACTATTGTTCGAGGTGAATTCATTCCATTGACATTCCCTGTTCATACTTATACCACTGACAATACTGTTTATTATCAACTCATTGGAAGAAATAATTGGAAGGTTGAAGTTTCTGTTGATGGAAAAGTTGAACAAACTATTGATTTAAAACAAGACAGTACTGAGCTTGTTACTATCAAGGCTGATGCTGGAATTCATTCTGTCCAGTTTAGTTATGCTAAGACTAATGCAGAATATCAAAACATTGAAGTTACTGAAACAGTGCCTTCTGTAATTAATGCTGTTTTTAGACCAGAAGCTATTACTGAGAATTCCATTTGTTTTGAAGGAAAGAAAGTAGTTGTTGGTTATACAGCTATTAACACAGGTAAAATTATTGTTAACACTAAGGCTAATGGATTGTCTAATCAAAAATACATTCAAATTGGGGATTCTTGTTCTCTTATTGAAGAAGGCGTTGAGTATAAAGTTAACGGAGAGTATAAAATTATTCTTGCTTCTGACGTTATTCCTTCAGAAGAATCATCATCTATCTTTACTGTAACTTTTGTTGCTGATAATACTCCAATTGAACCATCAGAACAATCTTCAGAACAACCTTCAGAACAACCTTCAGAACAACCAATTGAACCATCAGAAGAATCATCAGAAAAACCAATCGAGCCATCATCAGACCATTCATCTTCTGCTGGATCTAGTTCAGGTAATTCATCAGATAGTGAAAACAGTGAAGGTATTAATGATAAGACTCTCATTGCCATCATCTGTGTTAGTGTGATTGTTGGTATTCTTTTAATACTTGCAATCGTATTATTAGCATTTATCATTTATAGAAAATGCACAAGCAAAAACGATTATGAAAATTTGAATTAAGAAGTTTAATTTCAAAGTCTTTTTTGATAAGTTGTGTTATTATTTTTCCTTGTATTTATTTTTCCAAAAATGAAAAAAATACAGAAAAGATCTTAATAATTTAACAAAAAATGAGTGATAATTTATCCCGTGATGATTTCAGAAGAATATCAACCTTATGGAGAGTTTGTCATTTACACCATCTGGAGATAACAATATTTATATTTAGATTTGTCAAACATACGATTATTTTTTTGTTAAAACAGTTGTAAGAGAATACACTGACGATAATCCTGAGTTTTGGGATAATTTTGTTAAACTTGTTTATGAACGTGGTATACTTTGTGAAATATTAGGAAACGAATTAAAAACAGAAGTAGAATATACATGTTTGTTATAATTTAAATTGTTCACTTGATAAAATGAAACGATGTTAATAATAAATAGTATCTGAAACACAACTATTCAGATCAAATAAAGGAGTGACATATGTCGCAGCTGCTATGTGCAGAAGATTAACAGAAGATTTATTGGTTGAATATATTAATCCTTTGTTAGAAGAAATTAATAGTTATACTGAACCACTTGAAATTGATAATAGTAAAGTTGGAGATGAGAAAGCTAAAAAGAATATTGAAATTGTTATAAATTATGTTAATAAATTATTTGATACTGTCACTACTTTGTCAAAGAAGTTTTGTCCTGAATTAACATATATATTTACCAAGGTTAGACTTGCTGTAAAAGAACGTTATGGAGATGAAGAGGCATTAAAAATTGTTGGAGCCTTTGTATTCCTCCGATTAATTAATCCAGTGTTATTAACTCCATTAAAGTTTTCTTCAAAGCTCACTAAGCCATCACCTAGTTCTCTTAGGTCATTAATTATTGTAACAAAAATTACTCAATCATGTGTTAATCAATCATCTACACCATTTCAAGAAAAATACATGTTACCAATCACAGAATATGCTCTTGGAAAATATTCTTTTGTAACAAATTTATTGGATTCAGTTTCAAAAAATGAGGTTAATCCACAACACCCATTAACCACTCTCATTAAACCATCATTATTAAAAGAAACAGGAATGGTTATTATCCAAAATTTCAATAAATTTGCTTCATCTAATTTAGAGAAGTTTAAAAGTTTTTGTGACTTCTTTAAAAGAAGGGGGCATACACAACTCATAGAAGAATTTAGTTATTTAATTGACCCAACAGGAAAAATTGGACAAAGCCTTGGAGTTCAAGAGAATAAAGTACTTGGGGTTGTTCTTGATCAACCTGATGACCAATGTATTAGAAACCTTATTCAGAGTTTTGATAAAATTATTGAAGGATACCAACAAAGGATCTTAAAGTCAAGAGAAGAAATTATTGAACTTCAAACAGATGTTAGAAAAAGAAAAGACGCTGTAGCCTCTAGAGCAAGTCAAATAGATGCACTAAACAAAGAGCCAAGTGGAGATGACAAACTATCTGTTCCACCTCAAATGGAAAGAAAAAGAACAATTTTTAAAAGAGGAAATAGTTTAAATCGTGGACAGAATTAATTCATATAACACATTTTTTTCAATTATTAATTTTTTATTGTTATATAATTCAAAATAATAAAAAATGATAATAAAAATTATAATAAAAGAAAAAGAAAATTCTGAGATGATAAAAAAAAAAGAAAATTAAAAAAATGAAGACTTTTCAAAAAGAAACTGAAAAATATTAAAGAAAGCATGGTTTGTAGTTCTCCTTTTAAAGTATAATACAATAAAGAAGATTATTGAGAGAATCAAACGAATAACAATATAGTCATTTTTGTTTGGTAGTTCTGCATCTAAACAATCAACGACTCAAATTTTATTCGATGATGATCATATGAAACCTAAAGTTAAAGTAGAAAGAAAAAATGGTGTTATTGAATTAGTTCAATTTACACCACAAGAACCAATAAAAGGAAAAGTATTTATTCAAATGGGAAATATTAAGAAACCAATTATTCATAACGGTATCAAATTAGTTTTACAAGGAATCTTTGGTTTGTTTTAATTTTTATTGAAGATGAAATTAAAAAATAATGAAATTAATAATTTAGAATGCCAAAGTGGTATGAAACCACAAACAATCATTGATACTTCAGTTGATTTATGTGGTCCAAATTCATTAACAAATCAACAAGTAATGTACCCATTTGAATTTGCTCCATTAAATCAATATGAGTCATACAATGGTAAATTCTTAAAATTAAAATATGTGTTAAGTGTTCATATTATGTCAAAATCACATATTAATCCACAAGAAAAAGAATTTGCATTAATTATTCCACATACCCCAAGTCTTATTCAACCAATTAATCAAGAACTTGGTATTGAAAAAATTATTCAATTAGACTTAAAATTATCAAAAAATTCTTATGCTTTAAATGACGTAATCATGGGTAGTTTATTTATTCGTTTATTACATGTTAAAATTTGTAGAGTTGAAATGAATCTTATTCGTGTTGAATCTATCGGAAGACCTTTAATGGAAAAAAGTAGAACTAATTTTAAGAATATTCAATTAGTTGATGGTCAATTAGTAAAAGGAGATATTATTCCAGTTAGATTCTTCTTAAAAAATTTACAATTAACTCCAACACAAACAAATATCGCTGATATTTTTAGTGTTAATTATTATCTTTCATTTGATTTCATTGATGAAGAAGGAATGAAATATAACTGTGCAACTGAAATTAATTTATATCGTGGTGAAAAAGATCAACAAGATGTTAGAATGCTTCCACCTGTAGATGTTGTTGATTTAGAACACCTTGCCAGTGTTTCTCATTTATACCTTGGAGACTCTGACCGTCCTATAGAAGAACAAGAAAATTCTCAACCAAATGAAGTACCAAAACAAGAAGGTGATGATAAGCTTCCATCGTTTGGTGATGATTTTAAGGAAGAAGTTTATGAAGAAACAAAACAAGATGATACACCAAAGAAGTCAACTGGTAATAATGTTGAAGATTTCATTTTCTAATTTACGTTGAATTTGACATTGTTGATTGGTTAATTATTCAATACATAAAAAAACTATAAAAATAATAAAATATAAAGATGGTTTAATCAATTTTAAAGAAAAACTATAAAACTCAATTAATGAAGGAAGTCAAAAAGAAGAATGAAGAAAACAATGAAACATCATTGTGGAGATTTTCAAGTTTAGTGTCTATAAGTGAATGTTCAATACCAAAAGAAGACTCTTTTAAAAAATGCTTAGATAGTATTAACAGTTATTTGACAAAACAAATAAATACCCATTTGATTGGGCATTTTGTTGTTTGTGAAATTGATAAAAAAGAAAGAAATAATGTTAATGAATGTTTATTATATCTTAAAAACATTGGACATCTTTTTTATATTAAATTATTACCCAAAGCAAAACAGCTCTGTTATTGTCAATATCCAGAAATTGTTTCTTCAATAATTTCAATGTTTCCAGATTGTATGGTATTAAATGATATAGATGAAAATGGTTGTAGTGAAGTAAATGATGGTGAAACTTATTTAGAATATATAAAAAGAGTTTATTGTTCAATGTATAATAAGAGTAGTTTACTTGGGGCTCAATTAAAATATATGAAATACTCTAATGAGAATTGTGAACATCTTCTTCATGTTATTCAAGCAGCAAAGGATTTAAGTAATATTGAATTGTTACAAGAAATGATGAAAGATGAACAATATAGAGATGATTCTTTACAACTTATTTCTAATAATTTTTCTAATGATCTTATTGTGAGTATGTTAGTAGACGTAACAAAGTATTATCTTAATTTATCATTGAAACAACAATTTAATAAAGAATTAATATTTTTTATTCATTGTTGCTTATCTCATTTATTAGATAGAAATCCTCCTTGTTTAGTTGAGTTATCTTTATTTTTGTATCAATGTGACCAAATTAATATTCATTTAAGAAATGATATAGTTTCTCTTTCATTGTTTAACTCTTCATCTGATGAAATAATTGAACAGATTAAACATATTATTGATATCTCAGAACCAGTTAAAATTGATTTACAAGTTACTCTTATTGATAAATTATTACGTATGAATAATTTTAAACCAACAGACTCAGAATATGTTATTAGTGTTTTAAAATCTAATTTATCTAAAAGAAGTTTTTGTATTAAATTTATTCCAATTATATTTCAGTTTAAATTTAAAACTGGAATGAACACATTATTTAGATCACAATTTGATGAATTGGTTCAAATAATTAATGATATAATAGATCAAACACATGATAATGCTGTCATTACTTGTTTATTTATATTATTTGATTGTATAGTTCAATACACAGAATTATTTGATGCTGATCAAGTAAAACCAACATTTTCTAAATTGGTAAAGTATATGAAGCAACATTTTTGTTTAGCATTTATCAAAATAATGATTAACGAATACAGAAATAGATCATTATTTACATATTCTTTTAATACTTATCTTCAAGATATGGTTGATTCTATTAAATCAGATTTATCAATTAATTTTATTAAATTTGATTATAAATATAAACAAAAAGAACCATTCAATAATGAAATTGACTTTGAAGAAATTAATGACCCAATTAAAAGAGATGGATATAAATGGTTTGCTATTCAAAAAGTAATAAATAAAAAACAAACAAGTAGAAATAGTAATTATAGAATTTGTTTTGATTCTATTTTAAAGAAATATATTCCAATACAATGTATTCCAAATTTTATTCATAGATACAATAAATATTTTAATTTTAATAATTTAGAGATTACTGTTCAAATAACACAAGAGGAATTAAAAGAAAGAAAAGAGTATTCACTTGATAGTTTATGTCAAATATTACTTTACTTTAATCTTATTTATGCAAACTCATCAAAAAGAAATCAAAATAATTTTATTGAAAAAGAAAAAATTATAAAGATACTTGAAATAACTTTTGATTTAATTAATTATGTAGCTTGTAATAATACCAATATAATCACTAGAGTATTTACTAATTTTATTGATAAAGAAACAGATAATACTTTACAAAAAATTAATTGTATTATTGATTTAATGATTGAGACTATTGGAGGATTTCCAGAAGATATGTTTATTAAGGAGTTTATAAAAAAGAAAACAATTCGAAATGGATTATTATATCTATTATTCTTTCTTCGACAAAAAGAATCTCCACGTAGAAAACGAGATAGAGAATTTTATTATAAACATCAAAGAAAAATTGTTTCTTTATTATGGAATAAAATACCACCACTCAAAAATAATAAAGATAAACTAATATATCATTACATTCTTAAATCAATTCCTTCTTTTATTGAACACTTCAATTGTGATAATATTTTTAAACAAACTATTATTAATTTTCTTCTTCCTGAAGTGTCATCATTTAAAATAATTTTACAATTATTTAGTCAGGGGATATTTGTTAGTCTAAATAAAATAGATTCTTTTTTGGGTCATCCATTAATCAATCATACACAGAAAGAAATAAAAGATATTTTAATTCAAGAACTCGAAAAAAGTTGTTCAGTTAAACGTAAATTACTTCCTATTGTGGGATACATTTATGATGATATCGACTTAACAAGGTTCAGTGAGAATAAACACTTTACGGCAAAGGCTTCTTTTGTTAAGATGTTTAAAGGTAGTGATCTTATTATTAAAGGATGTGAAGAAACTCTAATTTCTCTAATAGATAGAGTCTCTCTTATTCATATTCAATTATATCGACCAATGATTGAATTGTGTAATAAAGATAGATTGAAAGAAATTCTTTTATCAAAAAATACTATGGAACTTAGTTTAACTACTGCATTAATGTTATGTCAAATAGCTGATTTTATTCAATTTCCATTACAAATACATAGCATTGGAACACTTAATTTCCAACAAGATGAAAATGAAAATTATGATATTTGTCTTAATAGTCTTGATTTAGTTTCAATGCTGATTCAATGTTTAGTTAAAAGATTAGATTCTACAGAATATAGTGAAGAACTTAATGTAGTTCGATTAATAATGAAATTCATTAATAGTAATACAATATTATTATTCCGTAAATACCAACAAAGAATTCTTCAAATTATGCTTCGTAATTCATTAAACAAACAAGACGTTTTAATACTTTATACTATTTACAGAGAAAGGTATATTGATATAAACACTGAAGAAGGATGTATTATTAAAATGTTATTTAATAGAAATAATATTTCTGCTCTTGATATGTCTGATATCACACATTTTGGGTTATATCAAAATAAAGAAAACATTCATTTATTTGAAGAACCAGAAAAACAACATAGCAAACCTATAAATAAAAATAACGAGATATATAACGAATACGTTTACTTAACATTAAAAGGGAAACTAGTGAAAATGATGAATGACGCTGATGATATTTTATTTTATCGATTATGCCAAGAAAGCTTTATAACCAAAAGAACAAAAGGGATGTTAGAAGGGAATGGAGATATCAAATGGAAGGAAGGCTGTTTAAATAAAATTAGAAAGGCTATTAAAATTATTACTGACCAAACAAAAAATACATCACAAGAGCATGACAAGGTTTCAAACAAAGAAGAAAAAATGGAAGAAGAAAGTATTGAAATAAAACAGTTAAAAGAAGTTATACTTGTTCTTAATATTAATGAAGAAATTGAAGATATTGTAAATCGATTTATCAGATATAGTGAGAAAAATAAAATTGATAAGATGAAAGAAATGAAATCGTTGATGATTATGTATCAGGAAATTCTAAAAGAACAAGAGATGAAAGATGGATGTAATACAATTATTGATTTTATGAATAAATTTAAAGGAATGGATTTAGAAATAGGTCATCAAGAAGATAAAAATGAAGAAGAAACAGAAGAAGAAAATGTTCAAGTAATTAATATTCCTGGGTTAGGAACAGTTCCTATTCCTCATGGATTTGATACTGAGACATTAATGCAATTACCTGAAGAATATAGAATAGAAGCAGTAATGAATTATTATCAAGAACACAATATTCCAAGAATACGAAGAAGTGAAGATAGAAGAACTGTTCAATTGTCACATGACATAAGAAAATTACCATGTGAAGAGTTTAAACAAAGAAAGATAAATAAAATAGAATTTAACTCAAATACGTTCAAAAAAACATGGACAAATTTTGGTTCAAAGATATTACCTGAGTTTAACATCAAAAAAGCATTGAACATATATTTTGTTTGTACAGAAGATGAATGTAAAATTATATTACAGAAGATTAATTCATTATTCTGTAATTCACAAATTAACTTCAATGTTGTATATAATAATTTTATAAAATACATTGTTAATGATTTATTTATTGAAATTCTCCACAGTAAAGTTGATGAGAAAATGATTAGATATTGGCAATTAGTTGATAATATTAATCAACAAAAAAGTTCAGAAATATCATCAGAAATTAATGAAATGATAATTGATAATTTATGTATGATGATTGAAGCTAATATAAAAAATTCAATAATTCTTAATGCAGTAGTATATTTACCTCAAAAATTAGAAATGGAGGAAATTAAAATAAATGAAGAAAAATATATATTAAAATTATTATCTATTTTTGGAAGGTATTATCGAAATAGACCATATACTAAACAACTTCTTTTTGAATCAAAAACACAAATTCTTATTGATAAATGTTTAAAGAAAAATGTTCAAATTTTATACGAAAAAGAAACAAGTCAAGAACATTTATTAGACTTATATTATATGTTATTAACATTGGTTCCTTCTACATTAATTGAACAAGAAGAAATAGAATCAAGAACATCACCATATTTTGTTAGATTAGTAAATCAAAGACCACCATTAAGAAATTTAGAGTTTGGACTTCTCTCACCACAGTTAATTCTTAATAACAGAGAACCTATTCAATTGTCAGGACCTTTTGATGAATTAGGTATCAATGAAATAGGTCAAAGAATTGATCCACGATATCATATTATAAGAGAATATAATGATGAAAGTAATAATGGCAGTAGTGAAGAACAAATTAATGAAGAAAGTATTCATCAAAATAATTCAGAAGAGTCTCAATATGATACTACAACAACACAACCACTAAACCAAATAAAGGAATTACAAACACTTTTAGAAGATATTTCAAAAAATAATATTTCTCCATCACTTGCTCAAGAAAAGGTAAATCAATTAACTCAAGACATTTTAATGGAGGAAGAAGAAGAGCCTCAACAAGTAGAAAAAAAAGAAGAAAAAGAAACAGAAGAAGAAATTGTAATTATTGAGAATTATTCATGTCTTTTGAATTATGTTAAAAAGTGTCATAACGAATTAGTATGTCGAGTTGTGTTATTATTACTTAGTTATGTTATAGAAGAAAGGTATGATGAAATAGTTAAAGACATTGTAATGGGAATGAAATGGTTTATTGAAAAAGAATTAAGGTTAAATAGATTTGCATTAAATACCTCTTTGATATTTCTTAGTAAACATAGAGAATTTCTTCCATTTGAAATGAAGTATCAAGACTTAATAAAAGAAATTGGACAAAATAAGAATTATAACCATTTTATGAAAATAATTATTGATAGAAATAATGTATTTAATTCTTTGTTTAAACAAATAAAACAAACAGAAAAATGGAACAGATTATTTAAAATACAATTTAAACATGAACAAGGAAATGACAATGGGGGATTATTAAAAGAATGTTATAGCCTTCTTGTTCAAGAACTTAGTAATGGAGTAGAAGATTTATTTGTTATAGAAAATAATTGCATTGTTCCAAATTGTCAATGTTTTAAGAAAAATCATTTTATATTTGTAGGAAAATGTCTTGCAAAAATGATTTCTGATGGATTCACAAGTGATTTTCATTTAGCATTATTTGTATTAAGACTATTGTTAAGTAAAAAAAATGAGTTAAAAGATGTTAAAATATTTGATAAAGAAATGAGTCAACAAATAGAGAATTTGTTATTAGGAGATGTTACTGAATGGGGTTTAACATTTACCGAAATAGAAAGAGTAAATAATAAAATTCATGAAGTTGAATTAAAAAAAAATGGAGCATATATTCTTGTTACTCAAGAAAATAAAAAAGAATATGTTGACTTACTTATTCAATACAAATTTAATACAAGAATAGAAAAACAAATAGAATGGGTCAAAAAAGGATTTTATTCTCTTATTAATAAATCAGCCATTCAATTATTTGATGAAAAAGAGTTTGATAGAATTATTTGTGGAAATAATTTTGATATTGAAGATCTTAAAAGAAATGTTGTACTTGAGGGATATACAAAAGAGTCACTTCAAATTGTATGGTTATGGGAAGTTATTAATGAAATGGAAAATTCTTTAAAAGGAAAATTTGTTCAATTTGTTACTGGTTCTTCTAGAGCACCTATTGGTGGGTTTGTTCAATTAAAAAGTAGTCATGGAACACCATTACCATTTACTATTGCTTCTATTCATTACGATAGCCCTGATTCTATGATGCCAACCGCACATACATGTGCTAATAGATTAGAAATTCCATTTTATTCAAACAAAGAAATATTAAAATTAAAATTAACAACAGCAATACAAGAATGTTCTAATTATGAATTTGACTAATTAACAAGCAATTGAATACTATTAAATAAGTATTTTACAATTTAAAAAGAGTATTTGGTTTGAAAAAAAAAGGAAATTTCAAAGAAAAGTTTTATGTCTAAAAAAAATAAAAAAGAGATTAAAATATTAGATCTTACAGAAATTACATGAGTGAACCTCCTAAACCATTATTAATTAAAGTTGTATTAATGATAGATAGTCATACACTAAGGTTTGATAAACAAGTAACTAAAAATACTAAAATTGGAGATATTTTAGCACAAATTAAAGGAGGATTAACAAATGAACAGAAGAAATATGAATTTAGTTGTTTTAATGATGGAATTAGATTAGTAGAAAATAATGGAATTGATTTTTATGGAATTGATGATGGAGATGAAATTGAAATTAAAGCATTTAATAAACCAATGGCTATGGCAAGATTATCAAGAGTAGTACCACATGAAAAAGATTATCATCAAATATATTTAAATAGTGAAAAAGTAGGATTTTTATTAAAAAAGAAAGTATCTAAAGTTAGTGGATGGAAAAGAAGATGGGTTGTTTTATGTAGAGGATTTTTATTTTATTATAATAATCCTAAAGATGAAATTCCAATTGGAAAAATGCAACTAAAAGATACATATATTCAGTTTTTAGGAAGTGATGGAGAAAAACAATTTGTTTTTCAATATGAAAACAAACCTGATTGTTATCATTTTAGTTGTGAAAGTGAAGAAGAATATATTAGTTGGAGAAAAGTTCTTATAGAACATCAAA